TCTGTTTTTACCCGATGGGCGTGGGCCGTGGCTCTGGCTGTCAATGGCACAGGATCCGTGCCAGTGTAGTTTCACTTATCATGATTTTGTATTGCAGTAAAGCAGTGCTGTACATGATTTGTGGTGATTTGATGTACGTGTGCTGTCGCGCAGGTGAGTTCGCACCGACGCCACTATTGATCAAATACCGAGGGGCCCCTGAGTCAATCAAAACTACCTGTGAATCTCTTCGACTCCCTTTCTATTTCTTATTCTGTTCTATTTGATTTTCTACTTCGTGTGGGAGAACCTCGGTGGTTCCAGAGGAGTGCTACCGATATTGGTAGCGGAGCCAGTGGTGGCTCCAGATCCGCGGCAAAAAGGAATCGGAGACCTCGCTCGTGGGTGACCGCACTCACCTGAGGAAGATGAGATCCTCCGGCTCCAGCGGCCCACGACCCAAGGGCAAGGGCAAGCAGCAGCCAGCAGATGATGCCGGTGACGGCACAGCGGATCGACCAGCAGGCAGTGTTCGGCTGGAAGATAGCGAGACGGACAGTGACCTACATGATGGAGGCCGAGACCGAGGTCGAGGCAGAGGCGACAGACATCCGCAGATGGATGCAGGACTGGCCAAGTGCTGCCCAGATGCGACGGGCTTGCGGCACAATGCGTATCGCAACTTCAGAAGGAGAGCGACGGTGTTCCAGCGGCTGTGTCAACGCAGAGGTGATACGATGGTGAGTGAAGGAGCGTACCTCTTACTGCAGGCGCTGCAAGGCGACGCCTGGGACGCATGTGAGAGTATCAGCTTCGAGAGGATGGACACGAGCGAAGCGTTCGATGAGATTTTCGGCAAGTTGGACGTTCTGTACAGGTACACGCAGGAGGTGGAGCTGCCAGGGAGACGCGAAGCGTTCTTTGGAGAGTTTGCGAGGTTGCCGAAGGAGACCTTGAACGCGTATGTGCTACGACACGGCCAGGAGTTGTCCAAGCTGCGAGAGGCTGGACTGGACCTACCGGACCTCCTGGCGAGGTGGCACATGATGACGAGGTCGGCGATCCCGCGATGGCAGATTCCTACCCTCAAGGCGTTGTGCAACAACAAGCTGACGGTGCAGGTCGTGACTGAGTCCCTCAGGACGATGTTCGGAGGCGATAACACGGCACACAAGAAGGACATCGACCGAGTGACGAGCGCGTACCGAGGCAAGAGCTACGAAGGTGGCGACAACTACTGGGCCGAAGAAGAGGACGACGACGCATGTTGGTATGAGGACGAATACACGGACGAGCCGCACAACGAAGATGACGTGTGGTATGAGGAAGACGAGGAGCCGATCCCCGAGGAGCTCGAGGATGCGTACGAAGCGACGGAGGAGGCCTTCGCGAACTACACGGAGGCCCTGGCGAAGATGAGAGAGTTGGCGACTGCGAGAGGATTTCATCTGGTGGTGGCACTGGTGGACGACCGACGAGGATTACCACCACCGCGGGCCGGCAATATGCGGCCACCAAAAGGACGAGGACGAGCAGGCTCTGGATACGGCAAATCGCGTGGAAGCTCAAGCAAAGGCAAAGCAAGAGGCAGATACGGCGGCAGAGCATCATATGGAGGCAGAGGTGGAGCCAAGGGTGGACGGCATCCCGATGGCTCGCCCAAGATGACGACGGCAGGTGCGACCCAGCAGCACGGACCTCGGTTCAAGCGACGAAGAGATGGTGCGGCAGCCGAAGGACCCGAAGAGGCGAAGATGCTGTATGAGATACACGGTGACGTGAGAATGACGGAGATCGCACCGAGTCCCGAAACGACGACGATAGAAGAAGTGAACTTGGCTCCGGGCAAAGGTGTCGGCGACAGTGGAGCGACGAAACCAGTGATGGGTCTCGAGGAGTGGCCAGCATGGCGCGAGAAGTTGCAGAAGATTGGCCTATCCACTGAGATCCAGACGGCACGGTGCCACAAGACGTTCAGGTTCGGCAACGACGAGACCGCGACGGCGAAGCAGTAGGTGACGCTCCCTGTTTGAGTGAAGAACGCAAAGGGCAGATCACGGTCTACCTCGCTCCAGGTCGAGTGTCTCTGCTGGTGGCAAGGCCATGTCTCGAGGAGTGGGGCATGGTGATCGACTACCGCAACAAGAAGGTGATGTATCTGGACGATCAGCCACAGGAGTGGATCGACATGGAGACGAATGAGAAAGGCCATATGATCATCGATCTACTGAACTTCCCGTCCGATGTGCTAGCGGCAGATGAGGAGTCAAGCTCAACGGACGCGGACACCGACGGCGACCACAAGGTGGAAAGCGAGAAGGAAACGGACTTCTTCGTGACCAGCAGCTACGGCGACGCCGAGATCGAGAATGCGGAGACCACGAAATTCGATGCGAAGCAGCTGGAAGACTGGTTTGCAGAGACCAACCGCACGTTGGATAGCAAGCCGATGGCAAAGAGGCGGTTCTGGGAGATTTTGTTGCAGAAGGACGAATCGCACTCTACGTGGAGAAACACGGCGACTTTAAGACGGAGAAATTCACGTTGGAGACCAGCTGGGACTTCACGAACGGCTCGCATCGCAAAGCATTCATGCGGGAGCTGGCGAAGAAGAGGCCACAAGAAGTATGGATAGTACCACCGTGCACTGTATGGTCTACGATCAGCACACTGGCGGAAGCGAACAAGAGAAGCGAATACCGACAGCAGCGACGGAGAGAGCACGCCAAGCAGCAGCGCGAATTCCTGAAGTTCAGTCGGGAGATCTACGAGGTGCAGCAGCAGGCGGAGAGGCACGCGCATATAAAGCACCCTCGATACGCGACATCGTGGGAGACCGAGGCGTGGTACGGCATGACGGGCCACGACACTTTCGTGGACCAGTGCGCCTACGGACTCATGGCGCTGGACTCTGCAGGTCGAAGGCTCGGACCGATCAAGAAGCCGACCAACGTAAGGACCTCGAAGATGCAGATGTACGAGGGACTCTGGAAGACATGCAGCTGTAAGGAGAAACACGTGAGTCTCGATGGTGGACACAACATGCGTGGCGTGGAGAACTACCCGAGGAAGATGGCATTCCAGGCGGCCGCAGAACGAGGCCAGCTACGCGATGGAAGAGATGACCCAGGAGGACCTCGAGAAGACCGAGTGCAAGATGGTGTGGAAGGCGCTGCTGGAGAAGTTCACCATAGAGGAGGTCAAGTGGGTAGAGAAGACTCGTATCCAGATGGGCCATCCCTCGAGCGAGGCGTTGGCAGTAGCACTGAAGGAGATGAACGCGGACGACCGACTGATCAGCTGTGCGAGGATATACATATGCGAGACATGCCTCAAGCAGCAGAGACCCAAGTCAGTGCGAGTCGCCCGCATTCCGCGGGATAGAGGATTCAACGACACCGTGGATATCGACACGTTCCATGTGGTGTGCAAGAACAAGCAAGAGATAATATCCACCATCATGGAGGAGAGCTCAAGGTTCGAGGTCGACACGGTGGTGAAGGACGAGAAGGCAAGTACCGAGATCAAGGCGCTCGAGAAGCACTGGATCAACTGGACCGGAGCGCCGGCCAAGATTCGAGCGGACCAGTGGCGCGCACGTGAGTGACAAGTTTATGGAGTGGTGCGACGGTCGGCAGATCAAGCTGCAGCTGATTCCAAGGGATGCTCACCATCGCCTTGGCATACTCGAGCGGAGTCAACAGGTGCGACGGGAGCAGATAGCACGATATCATGAAGATCATCTTGAGGACAGCTTGAAGCTTAAGGTGCGCATGACCTGTAACGCGCGCAATCAGCTGCGCAACGTGAAGGGTTTCACGCCATCGCAGCGGGCGCTAGGAAGGCAGCCAAAGAATCTCGGCAGCCTGGCGGACGAGCCGACAACTACGGGCGACCTCGGCGACCACGACGAGGAGTTCTACCGCAACCTGGCGCGCAGGCGGGACGCAGGCAAGGCTTTTCTGGCGGCGAACGTGGCGAGAGCAGTTCGGGAGGCGCTGGCGGCCAAGAACCGGCCCCTCTCAAGAGAGTTCCAGATCGGCGAGTGGGTGTACTTCTGGAGGCGCTACAAGGGCGAGAGCGACCTCATCAAGAGCTACTGGAAGGGACCAGCGATGATCACGCAGGTCGAGTGCACGGACGATCCCGATAAACTTAGACAGTCAGTGCTGCGGTGTGTATGGCAGCAAGCTTATACGGACGACGCACGAGCTGTTACGAGCCGAACTGCCAAAGGAGCGACGGTAAAGAGAAGAAGAAGATGACGATCACGGACTGCCACTGTCGACGGCAGAGCGAGTGCTGGAGAAGCTGAAAAACGTCAGCGGATCCACGAAATTCGCGGACCAC